TCCATCCATCCATCCATCCATCCATCCATCCATCCATCCATCCATCCAAATAGGCTGCACTGGTGGTTAGAGAATCAGAAACTTACATGTATCAAAGATGGCCTTCTGCTGTACTGTTGTGTATTTATTGTTGCTAGGGGGCCAAGACTCGTGACCTGAAAGTCCCAGGTTCGATCCCCAGTCATTGTACATCTTGTGGTGTCTATGAGCAGCACACCTTATCCCCAAGAATTCTCCCCGGGTGCTTTTAATAGCTGCTCACTGCACCGCCTGGTGGTGGATGGATTAAATGCAGAGATCCAATTTCATCATTGTATGTGAACATACAATGATAACAATACATAACACATTATTATTATTATTATTAATATTACAATTTGAAGCTTTGCCTTTTTAAACAATCAGCCATACTAGCCTCATAATTCTTTGATTTGACAATGAAAGACTGTTTTTTTATATCTTGCAGCCTGCCTGTTTTTCAGTGAGGTCAAATTTCCAGTTTGTAGATTGATTGGCTTTAATACTAAGTTGAATGACAACATTAGCTCTGATTGTGTGGCTGTTAGTTGTGTTGTCCTGTGCTTTCAGTTCAAGTGGCAAGATTTAGCTTCATTAACGGCACAATAGTTCAATAAGAACAGACGAATTAGTGTTAAACCACGTTTTATCAGAGGTCAAACCACCAATTTGATCATTCTATGTATTTTATGATGTCATTTTTGCTTGTTTGTTTTAGCTGTACAACACTTTGGTTGGCCATGCTGTTTTTAAGTGATTTATAAATAAAGTGGTATGGTATGGTATGTTAAGGTAAACCATCACATATTGTATAAATTGAAAAGAAATTACTAAAAAAAGAACAAAAAGTAGTGGCAACAAGTCATTTGTGCTGCTGATTTTTGTAAACATATCTACAATAGTTGTCTTGTATGCAGCTCAGAAGTTAAAATAAATTGTGCAAAACCAAAATCAATTCCTATATTCTTTTTAAAGCTAAAAAAAAAAAAAGTCCAATTAACAACATCCGTCCATTCATTCTGCACACTTACTTGTTCCTCAAGGGTTACAGGGCGCTGGTGCCTGTTTCCAGCAGGCGTGAATTAAAATGTGCGTGTTCTTGTTCAAGAAATAATTTTAAATGTCAGGAGTGTTGCTTTGTATATAAAAATCAAACCATGAAAAAGTGTTTGTTTTTGAGAGGTGAGAATAAAAATAAGGAAGTCAAAAGTTAAGAACTGCAAGATGCATTTTTATGACTAAAATTACCGAGGACAATCAGTATTTCTCCTACCATTCAAGAAGAGCTATATCATCTCTTGTTCTGCCTGTCAACATATTTTCTTTCCTCTGTTTTTGGCAGCCATGGATGCACCTGTGAACCTGACAGCCAGTGAGGTGAACCACCGCAGCGCTCTCATTTCCTGGCAACCGCCAGTCACAGAGATTGACAATTACATGCTCACCTACAAGACACCTGATGGGAGCCGTAAAGTAAGTAGCACGCTCTAATTTCACTCTATCATCTACAAACTAGCTACAGTTTTACACATAGTGCTTTTTATATGCTCTTGAATGCATCTGCACAAAAAAAAAAATGCATGCTGACGTTTAGGTTCTCTGCAGCAAACAACAACTTACATGTATTAAAAAGATATTAAAGATTATATTAAAGAAAATATCAAAACCACAACTTGTAGCTTGTGTTTGTGTTAATATAACAATATACTTATTTATTTACTTCTATAGGTTCAAACACAATAAGAAAAATATTTTTTTTTAAAATGCAAAGGCACAACTTTGATATTGCGATGCTTCAGCATTCAGAGTTAGTCTTTCAGTTTGTAATCCCCTGAAGTCTTCCCGGACACTCACGCACAGATTGTTACACACAAGGGAGCCACACAGTGAAATTGCCTGTCCAGCAGAGGTATTACTTTAATGAGCCTCAGCAGACATTGTTTATTTTGATTGAGGGTTTTGATGTGGCAGGGTAATGGTAATGAAGTACATTAGTACGGGCTGTGTGCTTAGAATACTCACACAGAGTCAAATGCTGATGGAGTGATCATCCACCGCAAGTCTCTTCACTCTCAAACACACATTAACACTTTGACCTTGCAATTGTGGCATTCATGTGTGTGTGGCCATCGGGTGTCACTAATGCACAATGAATGCACCGGTAACTCTTCAAATCATCACCCTTTTTACATTTTTATTTCATTTTAATTTGTTAAGCAATTAGAAATGCATGTGTTGTTGTCTGCTCTTTTGTCCCTGAAGAGTTGTTTTAAACAAACGTTTGTTTTTTTAAATATACACCATTACCATCAAATCTGTGCTTCACTGCCTGCTTTTAAAACATCATCTATTGTATTTTTGTATTATATCACAATTACCATACCATGCCATGCCATGCCATACCATACCATACCATACCATACCATACCATACCATACCATACCATACCACTTTAATTATAAAGCACTTAAAAACAACAACAATCCAACCAAAGGGCTGTACAATAGAACAAGCAGAGTACACAGGATAAAATACATAAATCTACAGAGGTAACAACAAAAGAAACCTGAGCAACTAGATCAATAAAAGCACAACAAGGTTAAAATCAACCCACACTGGGTCGAAGGCCGGGGAATAAAAGTGTGTTTTTAAATGAGACCTAAACACAGTAAGAGTGGGAGCCTGTCTAACATGCAGCGGTAAATCATCCCACAGTTTGGGGCCTGCAGCAGAGAAGGTTCTATCACCTCTGAGCTCGCATTGTGTGCATGGATCCATTAAAAGCACCTGATCTGCTGACCTCAGAGAGGACGTCTGCAGCAGCCCAGAGAGATGAGATGGGGCAGAACTGTTAAGAGACCTAAAGCCATACAAAATAATTTTAAAATGAATTTGGAATTAAATTGGAAGCCAGAAAGAAGGGAAGCCTAAACTGGTGAAATGTGTTGTCTTTTGCCTGTACCAGAAAATCAGACTGCAGCATGTTGAATACGTTCCAAACGATCAATAGATGTCTGCTTTGTTTCATAAAGAAGCGCATTGATCAATCAACCTAGACGTTATAAAAGCATGTTTTACTGTCTCAAGATTTATTTTGGACAGTATGGGCTTCAATTTAAACAGTTGCCTCAACTGAACCGAATACATATCTATCTATCTATATATATATATATATATATATATATCTATATATATATATATATATATATATATATATATATCAGATTAATATTCTGATCACATATCGGAATATATCACACCCAACACAATATCATAATAAAATTATTTTCAGATCATATTCTCAGATTTTTTTTAAATTTCATGATTGTTCTAATTTGCAATTACTGCTATGATGATTCTCAGTCATGATTTTCACAGCACAGAATAAGCCAAAGAAAAAAAAACTCAATGCATGTGTATAAAATAATGACACAGAAAAATATAAAAGATATAGATGACCAATGTATTGTGCCAAACACTGCTGTTTTATGCAGGCCTGCATTTTGCAAGAGATTGTTTTACGAAAAGTCACATAAATAGTTGGACAAATAATAAACCTTTTGCATAAAACTGCATTTTTTACTGTAATTGTAGGAACAAAAGGTTTGAGTTCTCTAAACTACTTGATGAACTTTAATTATCTGATTCTTTAATCTTTCTCAATAAATTTGAATAACATTTGTAATTTCAAAAAAGACATGGGCGTACTGGCATCTTACTTTATTTTAATTCAACTCTTATGATCAACTGTCCTTGATTTGCAGAAAAGTAAACTTCTCACTTACCAAAATGATAAATACACATCTACTCTGGGTTAAAAAAATGACTGGATGCAGATAACTGAGGATGTTTCTCTTACCTCAAACAGTCTTTGGATGAAAACACACATTGACTGCTGACAGTTTTAAGAAAATAAAGACATATTATCATGTTGCTCACTGATTTGATGTTAATTGGTAACTAACAGTTGGTAAAACCTGCAAATATTATGTTCGTCAACCAGAAGCAACTCTCGCATGCTGAGTAAAATCGAGCTGTTGATGTCTGAATATTTATAGCACTGCTCTTTGATTTAAGATTAAAATATTTTTTTAAAATGTTGTGTGTGTACAGCTTTGTTTCAACCCTAACCAATCTGTTAAATAAAATATCAGTCTGCATGTCAGCTGTAAAACATCCCTGCGGCTGGACTCACGTTGCAGGTTTATTTTATTGAGCTGAATCAAAAATCACTTGGTTTAATTGATAACACGAGGTGTTTGATTTTGTCTTGTCAGAGCTCAGTGTGTCAGCTTTAAGTGAGCTCAAACCCAGATTCATACTTTCAGAGATTTAATGGGAAAAAAATATTATATTTTTTAAACCCCCTTCTCTTGCTTTTATGGTACAAAAATATGGATATTTATTCTGTAGATTTCATACGGAGAAAGCAGTGTAATCTGGAAAATTCCTCAAACATTAAATCTTTTTTTCTTTCAGTTTATTCAAATTCATTATTTACTGCCTTGAGCCGTCTGAATAACAAGAAGTGCATATTGAATTCCCAGTGTTCAGCAACACATCGTATGCCGACCCACAGAACCACTCTGATAACAACATCCATCCGCAGATTAAAATGCTCTTTGTGTGATCTTCCTCTTGTGCCTGTGTTCGCGTCTTGCTTGGTTGAAAATTATCTGCTTGAGCGCAGCAGCGGGAAGCCCTACAGCTGTTCGGCCAGCTTCGCCTCTTATCCAGATAATGGACTTTAATAATTTACACAAATTAGCTGCGAGATTAATTTCTTATCTGGCTTGTATTTGTTGAGGAGTTTGTAAAAATTCATGTATAACTGTTGGATCTTTACAGGCATGGGATGATAAAGATCCCACACAAGGACAAGTACACATCTGGCAAATATTCAAACACTTAGCCACACATTCACAATCAATATAAAGGCTACAGAGGTACGCATTAGCCTTGATAAGCTGGGGCCGTTCGATTGCAATAAATATCTTGACCCTGAAAGCCCATCGGGAGAATGTCAGCTCCTCTGAGACAGAGCGAGACATCGTTTACCGGCTGTTTCTCTGCATAATTCACACACATTGCCTGCGAGTGTGTGCAATTTCTCCCCCTTCAAACTGTCTGAATATATTATCTCTGTTTTTATATTTAATGTGCATCCAGGCTAAAATGCAACACATAAACTCCAATGCAGAAACAAGTTTCTGTCTGAGCCACATCTCGCTTAATTTATGGCACTTCTTAGGCCGTTATGTCACTGAGTACACTCTCGTCAGACATTTAGGCTACTGAGAAGAAGCTCAGTGGAAAGGAATTTGTAAATGCGTTGCAGTGCCATGACTTCTCCACTAAAAATAGAAAACGTTTATTTTGTGATTGCTTGCATCTTCTTTGCTTGGCTGTCCGAGAACCCTTTTTATCCTGTTTGCTTCATCTGTTGTTACTGGCATCCACTCCTTTCTGCCAACAGTCACACATCAACTTTTATACTCCCTTTTTCACTTTTTCTACTACTTTATTTTAGTTTGTTATTTTATTCTGTTTTTGTGCTTTCTATGCAAAAGCAGAGGAATGCTCACCTGCTGCATTGCAGGTGGAGGTGAAGTTAAACAAATATATTTGTCAAATTGTCTTTTTTAAATTACACAAAGCACGGTGCCTGTTTCTCTTACCACAAGGATATTGTATTATCGCAACACAAAGCAAACCGTCACGAGTTGTCTAAAGCAGAACAGCTTGAAGGTGTTTTTGTGCTGTACTTCTTTCTTTCTTTTAAATTCACAAGCTGAATCCAGTGTTTTATCACTATCCTGCAGGGCTTCTAATAGAATTAATGTTACCCTGAGGTTTGTACTGAATGCACATATAATTAATATTTGTACAAAGAAGAATGTTCTAATGTTTTTTTTTTTACGTGTTCATGAGATTGGGCCTGTTTATGCACTAGGAGCTGATTCTTGATGCAGAGGACACTTGGGTTCGACTGGAGGGATTGGCTGAGACAACGGAGTACTCTGTCAATCTTCAGGCGGCAAGAGGACTCGATACCAGCGCTGTGGTTGCCACTACTTTTACCACAGGTGCATGATTCACGCATGTTTGAACTAATCTTAGAAAACAATTCAGGAGGGCCGAGGGAGGGCTGAGTGTTCGGAACCCCAGAGATTTGGTTCTGGATGTTGTTGTAAAGTCAAAACAAAAATACCCAATGTTCAGCCCCTAAAGATAGAAGTCGTATATTTCTGCCTGTAGCAAATTGTGGGGACTCTCAATGAGGCTGCACTTTTTGGAGGGTTGGGGTGGGTGGGGTTCTGTAGATAAATATACAGTGAATGTAATATAATTAGCACATCGAAGTCCATGCTCAATAATCCAGGTAAAAAAATCCAACTAACTTCAGTCAGGTCATCTAGACAGTTTCTTTTTTTATTTTGTTGTTGAGACGTTTCGTCGTGACATTTGATGTTTTGAACCACTTTGGCTATGGCTGCCTCTGAGGAGCCGATGGGGGACAGGGCGGGCCCCAGAAACTATCTTATCACCATCAAACTGGTTAGTCCACTATGTGGGTGTGCTGCTTGTGGGACTTAGTTTCTTGTGGCTCCTCAGACTGATGAAGTCCTTGGGATGAAGGACGAAACATCTCAACAAAATAAAAAGAAACCGTCCATTTGTCCTGACTGAACTTTGTTGTATAATTAGGACACAAGCAAATCTTGTTTCAATTAGGTCTTGTGTGACTGGACATTTATTTTATGAGCAGTCATCTTTCAAGGATTGTTCAAGTTGGGTTTTATATTATGAAGAAAACTTCTTTATCTTTGCAGTGGCACAGCCTTCTCAGCAAGATGGGTTCTGACCATTGGGGCACATTGATTATTTTCTTTCCAGTCGTTCTTTAGATCTTCTTGTGTTTGATTCATTGTTGTGCATTTGTCAGCAGGATGAACCTACGTTTGACTGTAGATTACCTTAATGCATTTACTGTAAGAGTTCTTTTTTGTCTTTGGGAAGAATACATTTTTTCATTCATAATTGATGGGGCAAAATATATTGCTTCAAGGAATGCTAGGCCTTCATTTATTAACATTTTTCCTGCCTTTCATGCCAGAGTGTAAAACTTAAATTACTTTATATGAGAAATAACAGAGTTAAAGCCAGTTTAGTGGAATGGTGGTGCAGAGGCAGAAAGACAGCGAACCTGTGATCTAAAGGTTGATGATTCGGTGCATACAATTTGGGTGTGAAAGATGAAACATCCACATATGCCTTCACCCTTATTTGCTCCACTGTGGACCCTTGAGCAAGGCCATTAACCCTCCAACTGCTCCTCTGGCACCTTAGGTGGCAGCCCATATCAGCTCCACATGCTCACGTGTGTAATGGGGAAAATGCAGAGAATGAATTTCCCCATTGAGGAGTAACAAAGTAAATATTAGTTGTTATTATGGTCAAGGTTTATGCAACTTCATGTAATATTGTTGTTTTCTAAAATACAATGAAAAAAGAGCAAAACGAAGCAAATGAAATGTGTTGTAACTTGTCGTCTCCAGGGAGTCGTCTGTTTGCAACACCTCAGAACTGTGCCCAACACCTGCTGAACGGAGAGACTCTGAGTGGTGTCTACACAATTTACATCAACAGGGACCCAAACCAGGGTGTGCAGGTGTACTGTGACATGACCACAGATGAAGGAGGCTGGGCTGTAAGTCATTACAAAGTTAACATGTTTAGACTTTCTGTTATTAAAGTTGCATGGCAGAAACTGAACATTATCGGTATATGGAGATTTTAAAAAGAGCTTGTTAGCCGTTTTGATTACCACACCATACAATACCATACTGTACCGTACCGTACCACACCATACCACAACACATCACACCACACCACACCA